CATCACAAGTCCGACCTGTTACCGCATATTATCCCGGCAGATGCTTTTCAACCGTCGCGGTACGTTAATGCCGCCATCGCTGCACTTATTAGAAGGGCATTACTACTTCCGTCGACGCAACTAGCAACAAAAATCGAATTAGACATCATCAGAACAGCGGTATCTCTTGCAGGGTTTACGTATGGTAAATATGAACATGTGCTCCGTAAAGTAAAAGAGGCCCTATACCCATGTACCACGTTGTACAGAAAAGAAAAAGCATCCATAATCCAGTCTCCATTGCCGTATCTTGGACCAACTTCTATACGCATCAGCCGCATATTTCGGCGGTATAATTTCATACTACCCATAACCCCCCTACCAAACTTACGCAGATGTATCTGCAACGATCGGGACAGGCTAACCACTTTAGAAAAGTCAGGGGTTTATACGATACACCTAGAAAATCCGGCAACGGGCGAAGTTACAAGATATATAGGAGCAACAACAAGAATGCTCGCCTCCCGCCTTGCTGAGCATCAGGAAGATATAGCTAAAGGAAGATGCTCTACAGAACTCGCTAAAAAAGTTCTCGAGCAAGGATACAACCCGTTATGGCCCAGAACGGCAATAATTAAATGCTGCAACAATCGAAGACTTGTGTTCATCTGGGAAGCGCTTCTCACGGCCACTTCAGAAGCATGCAATGTTCCCACCCTCGATCTACCCGGGGTGTGGATTGCCTTGTATCGGCGCCTAAAAAACGAAATGCGCCCAACATCGTATCGCCAAACGCGGTAGCATCTCCACGCATGCGCCGCTAACATCTTAAAATATAAAGATTCGAAATATCAAAATTATTCGCACGTTCGTAACGAAATTTCCGGACGCTTGTTTGAATTTAAATATTATGTTCTTTTGGAACATCCTGCACGTTCGCTTTCTTAAAAACTTGTTCTTTTCGCCTGATGACGACAGTTATACAAACGTCGAAAGTACTTGTGTGAATACTAAATGAAGTTTATTAACGCCGTACTCAGTGAATTTGTACTCAGAAGTTTTACTACCAAGATTACTAAAACTAACAAAAACGACTAATCAATTACAATTTATCTTTGCCATTTATTTAAAGTGCATTTCTGTACTACTGAAAGAAAGTAACATTTAATAATTTACATTAACAAATTTAACTGTACTCGTATATAGTTTAATGTATAAAAAATTACTGTCTACATTAAAACCAAAGAAGGCATCCCATATCTTATTAGGCAGCAATTTCCAAATTGCAGACATATACATTCCCAAGTCGTCCGTCTGTCCATTCTTCCTTAATCTTGAGATCGTAGTTAGATAGATGAAAATCAAGACCAGATATAAAAAACTTAGGAACTGGAGGCACCACTAACTACATACAAGCTTACTTCTGGGCTTAACTGGAAGTCATGTGATTTCAATTCAAAAGTTTCTTGAGAACAGAGTTAGATGTATGAAAATAGAGACTAGATATGAAAAGCTTACTTTTAAATTAAAATGATAAAAAATTGTGGTGCAGCATTGTGACAATGTCACAATAAGTAATTTTATTTAATAATGTTTTTTCCACAACTCTATTGTTATTATATTAAATCAAATTAAAAAATGCTTATTAAGTATTCTTAAAAATATAGATTCTTCATATTTTTTAAAAAACTATTTAAATTCTAAAAAGTCTGAACTCTACTTACTAAACTCCACTCAAACAGAACAACAAACACACACTTTAATAGAGTTGTATCCACAAAAATATACAAAATATCCTGATGATGATAGAGATTCCTAAAATACTAGCATATCGTTTAGAATAGCAATGTTATAGCATGAGAATGTTAGAATGAACATTCTAGAATGAGAATGTTATAGCTGTTGTTATAACATTCTCATTCTAAAATGTAATGGTTTCTATTAAAATTTAAATACAAATAATGGTACAAAATGAATAAACTAAAACCATAAATTATATCCAAAACTAAGGTATGCATCCTTATCAAAACGTATCATACCATATTTGTGCAAGCAGATGCCAGCATCATAAATTTAGGATTAAACTGGACACAATGCATAGGACCATTATATTCACAATTCAATATTGCTGTTTCCACACCACTTTCTGAATTCCAAACATGTATATTCCCATCAGTAGAACCTATAATAATAAAATTTTATTAAAATATATTATTAATTAACATAAAACTGATAAATTTGAAAATTAAAAACTTAATAGCTAATTTTATAATTACTAATATTGTAAACTTCACAGTTTAATAACTATAGAATTAAGAATTCTAAATATCTGAACTTCATTAAAATCTAACATTATTAAGACTCAAGTTAGTTAATATATTTTTTATTTTTGTTTAATGTTACCAGATAGTTTGTTTCATACTAAGTATGAAGATTATTCTAGAAAGTTTTGAGAATTAAAAAACCAAAAAGAAACTTATTATTAAAACATCTTTATATTTGCTTGATCCACTCTTAAAAACAAGCTGTTTTTTATGACAATTTTATATTACTTAAAGATGCAGAAGTTACAGCAATCTTTTTTAATTTCTCCTTTTTTCTTAGAAAATAAAATTTAAAACAATGCTAAGCCAATATCGTAAGAAGGATTAATGACTATTAATACTGTGCTGTGAAAGGATGATCATAACAAAATTGGACACTATAAAATGATATCTTTAGTTGCTTTCACTTAATTTCCTTAATTAAAGATATGTGATAAGTAAATTATAATACAGGATGTCCATAAAGTCTGTGTGCAATTTAAAAAATTAATAAACTTTATTAGTATTTGAGATAGAGAAATTATGTAGAATGTATTAAAAATATGAAAATCTATAACTTTTTATTGATTTATTGTATTTTATTAAGTTTTCACATGTCCACCATCATTAGTAATACAAAATATAATACAATTTTGTAGTTCTTTAAAAACATTTACCAATTGGTTTACAGTAATGCCTGAAACTTCATTAGTTATTTTAGCTTTCAAGTCTTCTAATGATTTAGATTTGGTTGCATAAACTATTGTTTTCACATGCCCCCATAAAAAAAAATCTAATGGAGTTGTCTCATGTAATTTTGAAAAATAAGTATTTTTAGGGTTTTGAAAAATTGTTAAATTATTATGTTAAAGATTTACTAAATAATTTTACTTAAAACTACATACTGTACATTAAGCTTTTTAATACTTTTTACAGACTTTTTCTATCACAAATACTAATAAAGTTAAAATTTAAAATTGCACACGGACTTTATGAACACCCTGTATATTACTCTGCATTAACAGAGTATTCCCATGTCTTTGAGGTAACTTTTCATAAAGAAATTAGCAATCATTTTCTTATCAATGCTCAAGTTTATTTTGCTTTTATTAGATTTCAAATTTTATATCAGAGGAGGTAATATTTCATTATTGGCAAGAGCTAACTAATTTGGTTGAGGAACTGGTAACAACTTTAACTCTTGGAGGAACTGGCGATGACTGCCTGAACTGGCCATTGTTTGTCATATTAATATGGCAGAATATGACCAGGAGGGCAGAAGATTGTGGGAAAGTGTCTCTTTCAGCACTGAGAATATGTAAGAAGAGATGCTCTTAAATAGAAAAGTTGACAATTATTGCTGCTGACAACAACATATTGACAAAATTGACCTTTTTTCTGATTAAACTCTTGTTCATTAAGTCTGGGTTCTCACATGATAGTGATATAATGGCTAGAAAATTTAAATAATAAAAACTCCTGACATAACCCAAAACATTAGTTCACCAATCAAATCCTATAAAGTTCCGTATGTCAAAAACGTTTTCGAAAAGCTCAATAATAAATTCAAACAATTTAAATTAATATACTTATTGTTCAGGCACACACCAACACTATCCACAAAAGATTAAGCAACAACAAAACTGTTATCAATATTTCTGAAAGAAACAATGTGGTTTATAGTTTTTCCCGTAGCTGTAAACACACTTATGTTGGTGAAACCAAAAAAAAAAGTTAAAAATCCATTTTAAAAGAACACATCAATGCTATTAAACACAACCTTGAAAACTCCACTGTAGCTAAACACTGTGTTTTCCATAATTGCAATACTAATAAAGATTCATTAAAAATATTAAAAACAAAAAGAAATACTACCGAACACAAATTACACAAACATTTAGAAATTATTAAAATCCAACACTTCTGCAATAGGGAACACTGCTTGTACATGCTGACTATCTCCTTAAACCTATGTAACCTTCCTTAATACAGTTCCTAATATAATTTTTTAACTGTTATTTTGTTTATTGTTTTGTATTTCATCCACTTACCTTTGTATTTACTCCACAATATGTTCTTTACAATAATTATAACCTCCGGATGCTATTTGTACTGTAATCATAATCTATCATCTGCAAAAATCCCGATAATGTCATCATCCAACGCATCCACTACAAAATAGTATATGCAGTACCTTTTGCACTATTTTTGTACTATTTTAAACTAAACCAATCCCAAATAATTGTAACAAAAAAAAACCAACTGTATTTTTGTAGACTCCTGTATATCAACCAATATATAATAAATACTGCCGAAGAGGGACAAACAACCTATCTGAAATGCATACCGATGCTGAATAAACCTGTATCTCTGACTTCTGTGTAATTTTTCTGACTATGTCAACATTGTATACATAATAAACAGGTTTATTACATACCCAGCAATAGTAACATTATAATTATAATTTCAGAATACTATCAATAATATGTATGTAATAACTTGTAATAATTGTATTATTAACATGTATTGTAATGTAGGCAATTATCATCATAGACTGTTTTGTATGTCACCCAATTGATAAGAGTCAATAAGGCCGAAATGCATTTTGGGATAAGTTAAATAGGCTGGGTATGTAATAAGCTTGTTCATTAGTTATATGTAACTAAGTAGTTTTTGTAATTAAATAATAAAGGCAAAAAGCTTTTTATTATAATATTTTACAACTTCACAGTTTTCTAATATTAATTTATGTGTTAGAAGATATCTTACAGTCATAAAGGTATCATTACATTCTATTACAGACATTGCTTGTTGAACACAAAGTAGACATCTAAGTTTCTCAAGCTTTATGCATTTATATATGTTTGAGCTTGAGAAAAGTCAAAGACTGAGACTCAGGTCTGGAATGTAGGGCATAATATAAAACACTGTACTTTTTACCTGTATTTCAGCAAATCTGTCACCTGCAACCCAAAAAGCCAATCTCTGAACAAGTCAAGTTAGTTGCTGTGCTTTTTCCCCATTCAAATTTTATAGAAAGTCATGATTACAGGGTGCTGTAACACTTGTTCCATATGATACTTTAACTGACAGCATAACTCCAAGATAATCAAAGATCATTACCATTGCTGTTTTTGGTATCCCTGATCCAAGTTCACACATCTTTCACAAAGCAAAAAGTCCAGTAGAAAACTGTACTCTAGTCTATTGTTTGATCACCATACATTTCACACAAAGCACTATGAATGTGTTATATTTTTGTCACAAAATCTCAATCTTGATGTAGAACCATTTATTTTCATGTGTCACAGTATCTGATACCTCTGCAAGGGTCATTTCTAATACTCATCAATCCATAATGATAAGCACTATGGGAGTGATATTTCATATGATGCTTCTTGTCTCATACTACAGCTAACATGTCATTGCCACAAATGAAAATTCAACCATTCATAAAACCTTTAAAAACAGCAATAAGAATTTAATTACAAAGTTTCATGAAGATCTGAATTTCCATATATGCAGTTTTTATTTTTTATTGCCACAATGTGCATTTCTTAAGAAATGATCTTCAAATTTCTATTTCAGTTTTAAATTACAAAGTAATTTTGTTCTAATGTAAATTAATTTATTATTCACAAACATTTCTTTATAATGATCAAAGATAGAACAAAAATGTTACTTAACAATTTTTAGCATCCAGAAATAAGCAGTTAGCTTTTAAACTACAATATGGAGCTAAGTTCTATACAGTTTCATGATAAATATCATAAAAATGCTCAAATGTCAGTTCTATGTCTATTTTTAACTTTTACTGATATTATATGCAGACTAACTGCAAAGTGCAAATTTCAGTGATAACGCTTGACTCACGATATGTTATTTCTTTGCCCTGATAACACAACTTCTTGCTTTATTTGTTTTATTTTCAAAACTTTTGGAACCACATATATATAGGCTATATTACAGTATATAAATTACTTTTTGAACTATTTCTCTCCTTAAATCTGTTTCTCTAAAATTTCTTATCAAAAATATTTTTATTTGAGAAACATTTTCAGATCTCTCAAATTCATCTTCAATCATACAATTAATTTAAAAGTTGTAATTTGACATTAATAGAATTCCATGTAATATAGAAATGTTCATCAAAATATAAAAATACTTTATACTTTGTTAATAGATAATTACTTATGTTTTCTCAACTTTTTATTAAATAAACAAATAAATAAATAAATACAATTAATGAGTAGATATTTATTTATCTCCTCTTTTTATTTATTTACTGATTTTTTCTTAAATATCCCTTGAAAAGCTCCACTTAACATTAATTTTAAATAATTTGTAATTCATGTAATTTATTTTTTTCTTTATACAATTATAACTTTCCTGTGAAATCACTGTAACAAAAAAGTACATATAGACTATTAAATAAAAAATAAATTAAATGTGTTTAAAAAAGTTTTCATTTATTTTTATTATAATTTATTTTGATTATAATTTGTGGAATTTTTTAATTTATCCCAGGGAGAATACTCTGTTTTTTCCCCTCTGCAGACATCCATAACCATTGTATATTATTATGTTTTTTTACATTAATTGAAATTTACAATACAATGCAGTTTACAGCAAAATTTATTCTGTCATTCTTTTAAAGAAAAAGCTGACTAGCAAAACTTATGGTCTATTCTTTTACTGCTGCTATTAGAGATAGTATCCTATAAAAGTACCAATACAATTTTATTCTTACAGTTGCAGAATGGCTGAGTCATAACAAATGTTAAAAGTTTTTACATTAACTGCCAGATAAAATATCTTAGACTATACAACTTTTAAAATAAACATTTCATATCAAAGAGAATGAGCAGACATACACTCCTAACATTATGGCCATTTCAATTATCCTCATTACTCTACATAATTTTTACTTATGAAATTACTTTTATATATTTATGATAGATATATTAATTTTAATGTTCTTGATCCAATAAGTCTTGATAAAAACATAAGATCTATAAATTGCTAAGCACACTATTGCTAAGCAGAATGCAATATATAAATTATAATAGTTTGCAAATTATTATTATGTAAAGCATACTTTCTCCTATGATTCTAATTTTGATTGTCCTTTAGGAAAAAAAAAAAAAATTGATTTCTTAAAATGAAATGAAATATCAATATATTAAAGGAATATCTTAAATTTTCATAGTAATTCCACTCATAAAAACTTATGATATCCTGATTGAATCAAATTTGGATCACAAAGCTATAGGCTAATATCTTACCAATATGACTATCTAGCCAATTATAAACAAGAAATTAAAAAAAAAAATCATTGTTATTAACCATAATAAAATTATTTTTCTAAAAGATTCATGGTTTACTTTTTAAAAACTAACATTCTTAAAGATTAGTTTTCTGGTATTTTTCTGATATAAATATTATAATCTACTTAAATTATTAAGTTAATTATTTGATATTTTTACATATTACAAAATAATTAAGTGAACTATATCGAATAGTTTTTGTTGATAATATCAGAGTTATTTTTGAAACAGAAAAAAAATTTATTACTAAAGTATAGTAAAAATATTTATTTTACTTAAAAATCAAATAAATTTACACTCATAATTTCATATTATTTTTTTTGTTTTAATTATTAGTCAAATTTGATTATATTGGGTTGTTTGGAAAGTAATTTTGTTTTACTACCAGAGGAATTAGTTGTATTTTTACCACCAATTTCATTTTAAACCATATTGTCATTATATATTTTGACAGCTGACATTTCAAGGCTTATTTGTAAAAAATTTTATTTAATTCTGTGCAATTGTTTTTTTTTGGTGTCCCATCAAATATTGAAAATAAAAAGCAGCATTTTTGGCATATTTTGCTTTTTTATTACCAAAAAATAAAAATGCTGTTCAAGCAAGAAAAAATTTATGTGACGTGTATGGAGAAGATATGTTGACTGAATGACAGAGCTAAAACTTGTTCACAAAATTTTGTTTTGGCAATTTTGATATTGATGATGCACCACATTCTGGAAGACCAGTTGAAGCTGATGAAGACAAAATAAAGGTACTGATTGAAGCAAACCAATGAATAACAACATGAGAAAGCGCTAAGAGATTAAATTTGTCAAATTGAACCATTTATGATCACTTGAATTGACTTGGTTTCGTTGGTTTCATTTCAAAGCTTGATATATGGGTTCCACACATTCTTAAAGAAAGATATGATCTCTTTGGTGGAATTTTAAGAAAGATTTTTATTATTTTTTTGAGTTTCTACCATACAATTCCACAATTGATTCGGAAGTGTACTGCCATCAACTGGACAAATTGAGTGATACCATGAAATAGAAAAGGCCAGAATTGATCAACAGAAAAGGTGTAGTGTTTCACCATGATAATGTCAGATCTCTCACAAGTTTGGTAACTGGTCAGAAACTATTACAGCTTGGATGGGATGTGCTACCACGCCCACCATATTCACCAGATCTGGTACTCTCAGATTATTACTTGTTCCGGTCTTTACAAAATTTTTTAAACAGTAAAACATTTACTTCAAATGAGGATGTCAAAAATCACTTGGATCAGTTTTTTGTAAGCAAAGATCAAAACTTTTATGAATGTGGAATCATACTACTAGAAAGATGACAACATATATATTGACCATTTTGGTCAAATACAATTCATTAAAATATTTATATATTATAAGAAAATTATTTTTATTCCATGAAAAAAACGAAATTACTTTCCAAACAACCCAATAATTTAATGATTCAATAATATCAAAACACATCATACAAAAAGCATTTATTGTACAGTTTTTATAAATTTTATTTTTAAAAAAACATATTTTATTAATTCCAATTTAAAATAAAACTATAAAAAAAAATTAAAAGTTCAAATACTTACCACTGAACACAAACTGAGAATCAGGACTGAAGGAAGCTTCTAAAGGAATAGCTCTATTATTTACATGATCCTGAAACATAATTTTTATAATAATGAAATAATATAACTGTCAAATCTAATTGTACTTATAATAACAAGTAAGGAAAAAAGTTATTATATATAGTAAAACCTGTCTAAAATATAATGCAATAGTATCATAAAAATTTTTTGTTTTGGCAGATTTAATAGAGTTGTTTTTTTAATGTCAAAAAAGAGAAAAGCTAAAAAAAATGTTACAACTCAGAAGTATTGCTACTCAAATATAAGTATTTTATGTTTTAAAAATATGCTGAAAACACTGAAATGTGTATGTGGTATATAAGAAAAAAAAATCTAAGTATCCATAGAATGTGATTTAACTGCCTTACTGCATATAACATATCACTTTCTAGTGAGTATTCACTTCATTAATTATTGTCAAGTTAGAATAACCTAGAATTTTTCAATTTTTTAACAGCAACATTTGTATTTATATATATAATTTTCATCATCCAGTATACTTATAAATTATCCCTATTCAATGCTGTCTGGAGGGATATGTAGCAGTCCAAACTCAAACCAAATTTTGTATACTGACATTTCTGTGGGGAGGGGAAATTTCATTTTAAAAACTTGCTACTATAGAATTTATGGCACTGCAAGCATCACAAAAATACATAGTGTAGCATATGCATAATGTACATGCAATTACTGTAGCAGTCTTTCTCATGAAGCTATTTAATGAAAGCACTGTCAATGCTGTGAGTATACTTTGAGAGTTACAGTAGAACACTAAGAAACTGTCAAGATTTTTTTGACACAGTGCCACAAGTCCTGTAATGGCAAGTTTTGGAACTAAATTTTTCACCACTGAAATGTCAGCTTATAAAAGTTTATCATGAGATGACAGCTTAACTGCTTACCTCTAACCAAAGTGTTTTACAGTCGACCCCCGTATAAGATCATTGATTATTCCATCTTATATGAATTCCATGTTGTACAAGTCACTTAAATTTTACAAATACGTGAGCCGTTCACAGCCCGGTACACGTATTTGTAAAATCTAAGTGACTCGTACAACATGGAATTCATATAAAACGGAATAATCAATGATCTTATACGGGGGTCGACTGTATATCTAATTATTAATTAGCCTTAATATATCCCAATAAATAATCCAGCAGATTGATAAAATCAGTCTAATGGCAAACATTATAAACTGCAATAAATGAGTTTAAAATAAAAACATTAAAAAATCATTTAACTGTCTCTATCTTTTAATTAATCATTCCAAAAATAAGCAAATTTTAGCTTCTTAAATATGAAAATACATTTGAAAATACTGAATTGCATTTATGCAAAATGCACAAATAAAGAATGAACAGATGTGGAACTTTACTGTATTGTTATAATCTAACCTCTAAATTATTTTCTAACACAGTAGAGTCTCGAAAACTCGGCACTCGATAGCCCGGCAGTCCGGATAACTTGGCCACACCCTGGCAGCGCAAAAAAATCCTTAGTTAATTAATTTTCATTATAGACAGCTTTATGCCTCAAAGTATTTTTCTGAGGTCTGTCTTATCAGGTAAATTACTGTACACAGTGTATTCATTAATTTTCATTTTCATGTAGTAAAGGCTCTATGCCTTCATAAAGGACATACTTTTCCTTTGTTTAAGGGTATTTGGGCAGTTTATTCTCTGTTGTATTCTCAAGTAAACAATACATACAAGTACAGTACAGTATTTTCTGAGGAAACACACTTATTTTTTTTAACCCCATTCCCAATAACCCGGCATTTTCACAAACTCAGCCACCCTTCGGTCCACATTAGGCCGCGTTTTCGAGACTCTACTGTAATACAGTATTGATTCTTGATGAATAAAAATAGTAAAACACAAAAAAAAAATTATGCAGATATAAAAATTACATATAAATTTGTTATATCAATTTAATCAAGAACAAACTTAATCTATAGATTTAATTTAATTGCTTTATTAAAAGAATATATGTTTATTTTTTATTTTCTTTTAAGTTTTCAAGAATAAATTTTATTTTTAACTAAATATATTTTTTAAAATTTCAAATAAAAAATTTTTCTTTTATTTTAATAAATGCAAGGTTAATAATTTATAGTGTCTTACCGTAAAAGTTTGCAAAGCTGAACCCCCAAAGGCATCAATTAAATGAATTACTTGTCCATTGGTGGAAATAAGTATAGTTTTTCCATCTGGACTAAACTTTAATCCTGTCCAGTCACAATTTGTTTCATGAGCAAGATTAAATGTATTAAATGGACCCTAAAATGAAAATAAAAATATTTATATTAAAAAATTTTTTTAGTTTTAAATATAAATATAACAGTTCTTACCTTATCAAAAGACCTGAGATCATACAATTTCACTATTTCAGAATTAATACCAACAGCAAATATAACACCATCTGGATCAAAATTTCCAACTGGTCGGCCAGTAAGGTGCATTAAACCCTTAAAATATAAAAGATGTTGTTTAAAAGTTTAAAAGAATACTATTTTGATTATGTTTTAAAAATTAAGTGAAATTACTTTTCATTAAATGTTAAATTTTCAGGTTGTTTTCTTAAATATATCTTAAAATAGAATTACATAATCATTAATAAAAGAAAGAAAAATTATTGAAATGGATCTTCATTTTTGTAGTTTTCATTACTCAGATTTATGTTCAATATGAAATTTACAAAATATAAAACTATCTTCAAAAATAATTTTTTATTTTCTTGCTTTTATGAAGTGTGTAACAAAATCTTTTGTAATCAAATTTCCTAATACAATAAGTACACTTAATATAGTATTATCAGTCACTTAATGTTATCAGATCTGATATGTCCCAAAAAATACATGTGTGGTATATAAGAAAAAAAAATCTAAGTATCCATAGAATGTGATTTAACTGCCTTACTGCATATAACATATCACTTTCTAGTGAGTATTCACTTCATTAATTATTGTCAAGTTAGAATAACCTAGAATTTTTCAATTTTTTAACAGCAACATTTGTATTTATATATATAATTTTCATCATCCAGNAAAACACACTACTTTATGCAAACTTTAACTTATTGTAAGCAGAATTTGATTATCGTTACCATTGGATAAATAGGCATTTTTAAGTTGGCAGCCTCAATATGCAGTCGATAATATGCAATCATTATCAGTCTTAATCACTGTTTCAAAATATTAAATAATAATCATTTTAATTATTTGTTTGCAATATAGTAGTTTACATTGTTGGCATTTCTTATTTCAATTACATACAAATTGTTAAAGACTAGCAAGTAAACAATACTAAATAAATTTTTTTTAAAGTTGGTTGATTATATAATCACAGATTAAAAATTTTGTATAAAGTAATAAAGCTTATAAACAGAGTTACACTGTTAACAACCATTACAAACAAATGAAACACAAGAGCACTAATTAAGAGAGCCTTCACACACTTCTAGTCGTACAGACAAAAAAGGAGCTAAGTACAGTATATCTCTCAAGTGGTTTAGGATCATGGATGTCATCCAAATCTCAAAAACTCTGACAATTTCCAAATCCAGTCTGACAAAAATAATGCCCTGTTATGAGTAAGCACAAAATTGCTTGAGAGATCAAATCGTACAGGAACGCACAATTAAGATGTATATACAGGCATTTATTGATTCATGAGGATGTACATTTTGGACATGTCCCTCATCAATCCACTTTTTAATTTTACATCAATTTGGTTAAAATATTATAAAATTTAATTTTGAGAGTACCACTTTGAAGAACCACTTCAAAGCCAGCATTCTTAAGATTTCTAGATTATTTATAATATAGAATTCTTAAGAATGTAATATATTGTTTATAAAATACAAATAAGCATGTTTAATTTAGGAATATAAGTTAACAATAAAAGTTTTTTTTAACCATTAGAAACTGATTTCATATTTAGATTTATCAACTAAAAACTTACCTGACAATTAGGAGATCTTAGATCCCATAAACGAATAGTTTTATCAAGTGATCCAGACAGAAAAGTATCATCAATTGGTGACATGCTAAGGACAACAACTCTGGAAAGATAGATTTAAAAAATACCAGCTATTGATTAAAAATTTTGTATTGGAAATAAATATTCTGAAACTGAATGATGACAATTTATGTAAGATTGTTTTATAATAATATTTAAATACTGAACAACTTACCACTCAGATAAGTTATATTTTTTTATCATGCTTACTGTGTTTCCATGCAAATTAAAACAGGCTTTTATATGTAAAAATTGCTTTTTTTCATATTTTTGAAACTGTCCTGTTGTCTGTTTTTGAAACATGTCCTTACAAGAGAATGCTCTTACATATACAAGCTTGTTTTGGCTTATAAGAGAACACCAGTGTAAATTAATTGTAAAAATATTGATATATTACCTGTTCAGTAACATTTCTGTGACAATTATTATTAAAAATAAAAACCAAAATAAAAAACTGCTTACAATACTATAAAAGTATTTTTTAAAATAGTGATTTTTTTGTTTTTAGGTACTTGAAATTATGTAGAATACAATGCCAATTTTGCACAATGTATAAGAATATGCTCTTATACTCAGATATAACAGCATGCTCTTAGATGCATGGAAAGACATTACTATGTTCAGTACTTTTAATGCATAAATTTTTTCAATTTAAATATCATTAAAAATAAAACATTTCATAATTTCATCATATAAATTGTGTCTTCAATTATTAACAGTAAAGGCTTCTCCTGCACTAACATATTTTAAAGCTTAATTTATACTGCAATATAAATAAAGCTTAGTGCAGGTTCTTTTCAGAATTTAAGTCTATACTGCAACTATTATTGGGTTGTTCGGAAAGTAAGTTCGTTTTTTTTACCACTAGATGGATTAGTCGTATTTTTCCTGATATTTTCGTTCTAAACCGTATTATCAATATACAGTCGACCCCCCTATAAGATATAGATATGTTCCAATTTATTAGGAATCCGATTTCTTACAAGTCGTTCCAATCACAGCCCGACACGTGTCAAGTTTACAGACTACGGCTGATTGAAAGGTTTTCTTCCATAAAATTAATCGATTCTACACTAATCCGACTCAACATTTCCAAAATACGTATATTTTTTCGTAGTTTTATAGGAATCGTAATTATAGGG